ATCCTTTTTGTCAGAGGCACTTGAGTTATCCTCTTCACTGCTTTGAGGATGGACTTTATTTCTTGCCAGTGGTGTTATTTCTGAGACTGGGCTTGTACTCCTTTTAACTGGACTGTATGTGACTTCAGGCGACTCAGCGTCATCCTCCTCCAACATACTTAGCTGGTATCTCTGTAGATCCAGGTATGTAGTAAACAACTTGGCATATTCTGGATGCTTGAGTGCAAAATCCTTAAACTCATCTGAAAAACATTTATATACACAGATACTATAGTGCAGCAACACAATCAAAGAAAATGTCAGTGCCTACTTCTTTTACTGAAGCTGTTCTCCAGTTAGTTTCCTCTGAAGAATCTCAGGAGTATCACACAAAGTATCTAGGTCTGTGCTTCAACAGTTTTCCTCAGAAACAAGGTGTGAGAACCATCAGATAATTCTTCAGAGAAGAAAAACTGAAGCTCTCACTGTCAGTTTGACTATCAAAGTACTCTTTGTTACAAAAGGGTGTAACTTACCATACGACAGCTTCCCAGTTTCATCTGCATCTATTTCTTTAAAGAGTATAGAAACATCAAGCTCATGCAACCCCAGAGCTGACTGAATGACAGAAGCAAACTCATTTTCTGTTATAGTTCCATCCTCATCCATGTCAAAGAGCTGGAAAAGACACAAAATGTAGAAATACCTTAGCATCTGTTTGCCTACAAACCTTCAGTGCACATTGGCCACATGTATTGGCTTTGTAGTATTCAAGAGGTTATCTGCAAACAATGCCTGGGATTTGAAGAGACTGATTGCATCTCAGCTACTTTCTCTTCTGAAAGATTTTATGTATTTTCTCTGGAATAAGACTAAGCACTTAGCAGAGCAATGTACATGCTACACTTTGAATCAGAACATTCTACAAAACCAAACAAACCTCACAGCATTAATTCAGTGATGAAACTAATGCAAAACTGATAAAAACAAAACATAAACAAAGGTTTGTGTTTATTGTCACCATGAGCTATGCTAAGGGTCTATTGGATTCAGCCACTCTGTCCTGAAATATCTTAGGCTTTAGTTTTCATCTTCATTAGGTTATGGCACATCTGCTATCAGATTAAACTTGCCATAGTTTATTTTCTGACATAAAATACTTAAATTTTAGTATATGTGATTGATCACCCACTAAGGATTTATTGTAATGAACAGTGAGGCTTGACCCACAAGAGAATATTAGTTCATCTATTGTCTACTTATGACATTGAAGAATCACAGCAAAAAAAAACCACCTCAGGCAAAAAAACCTGCAAGTGGTGCTGAATCATTTTTGCAGTTAGCCTGCCAAGTTACATATTCATTAGTGCCTTCACATGGCTTTTGAAACCCTTTTCTATGATGCCTGCAATTCTCTCCTTCCCCTTCACACTCTAAATGTCAATTGGTTTAAGAGTATTACTCACATTTGCATATCAGATTGAAGCTATAAACTTATGATTTGAAAGCTAACAGACTTACAGTCACTCTTGATTTGTCAGGTTTGTAGATTTACACTAAACTGAACTTACCTTAAATGCCATCTGAATAGTGTCTTCTGTGTTGGCTGGGTTACAAAGAATAGACAAACCAATTACATATTCTCTGAAGTCAATGGTCCCATCTCCATTCTGTAACCAAAATATACACAGCAGCAGTTATAGTTAATATTGCAAATCACTTTATAAGCTGTTGTGTAAATCAAATATACAATAGGCACTAAGACAGTTTACACTAGAGGTATATTGGTTGGAAAAGACCTGAGAGATCATTGAGTCCAACCCTACTAGACCATGGCACTAAGTGCCACATCCAGTCTCATTCTGAAAACCTCCAGGGATGGTGAATCCACCACCTTCCTGGGCAGCACATTCGAATGTCGTATCACTCTCTCTGTATAAAATCTCTTCCTACTATCCAACCTAACCCTCCTCTGGCAGAGCTTGAGTCTGTGCCCTCTTGTCCTACCTTTGAAGCCAGAAAGGCAATGAGTTCATTGGAAAAGCCTCTCTGATAAGTCAAGTTTTGATGTGAACGAACATTTCAATGTGTTAACTACAAAGCTACATCAACAAAACATTTGAAGCTTGCTTTGATGGGATCTGTCATTAATTTTATGTAAGCTGCATTGTATTTGCAGATAGGGAGGAGGGCAGATACCTGCTGAAATCTGTGCTTATGTCAGTAGTGTTCCTGTCACCACAATGAAAGTTTCTTGAGTGTTTTAGGAAACATCTGTCTGAGGAAAAGCCATCTACAAGCATTAGGTGATGGAACACAGAGAAGTTAATGACAGCACAGCAGAGATGACTAGTAGCTCATCATTTGGAACATTCACCATAAGGGCATTCATCAGAAACATTTTAACAGCAAACAGAAGTGTAAAGCAGAGTTCCCTTTGTGGATAATGTGTTGTACATTTGAAGAAGAAAACAATTTTTTACAAAAGTGGAGTCCCTTTTGACAGCACAAAACTTTTTCAGCCAAGCCAGAGAGGGGTGGTCTCCTGGGTAAATCTGTTATCAAACAGCCAGATCTAGATTCTATTTGTGACTCTCCTACCAACTTCTAATGCCCACTTGAGCATATCAACCTTAACCTTTCTGTTCTTGGTTTGCTGCTGCTGAACAGTGCAATACGCTAGGGGAGAATACTAAAGCTGTTCTAATAACTAAGAGTGCTTTGAAGGTCCTGGGCTCTATGATACAGGGATTTCAGTAATTGAATTCAGGTTATGAGATAGTTCTTGATTAACATAGTATGTGTAATGATGTGTTCAGTACTAGCTTTTCACCATCAAGCTATACATTTGACAGGATTTAAAACTGCTAAGAGACAACTCTATTTAGCCCTCAGAACCAGTGCAAGACTCTTGCACAGACAGCTGTTGTTTTCTTTATCCCAATGGTCTAACCAATCTTTTTTGAAGCCATGCAACCTTTGAACATCTTGTACTTTACAAACCTGTGAATTTCAGGGAAACTTTGTAGAAAAGATATGCATAAGGCATTAACCTTTAAGTTACTTTTATGTGTGTCTAAGGGATGTAACTTTTAACATTTTTAATGATTACAAAAGGACAGTGTCTCATAAATGCAGTTTTATTTACAAATCTGTGCTCTCACTGCAGTGCAGAGTTTAAGTATTTTGGCTACATTGCAGTTCTCATAATAGAGATAATAGATCTAACTTTAAAGTGTAACATTGCAAACATAAACTCTTAAAACAACTGAAGCAAGAGTGTAGATAATTGTTCAAAGTTCCAGAGAATATTATTTTTGGACAGTTTTGTAGACTGTATTCTTAGCAAAGGATTGTTTGATGTGATTAGAATATTTTTCTAAAATTTATTTTTAAAGTTGAGAATATGTATCACAGGAAGAGAACTGGGAAGTAAACTTTAACTAAAATAACATAATTAAAAAGAACTTCGAGAGAAGGTAACACAGCTGTGGCTGCACATGGAAAAATGTCAAGAAAAATGACAAAATAAGGGTCATATTACTTTCATTAAAGTGCTAAAACTCAGTAATCAAAACTGAGGGCAGTCTGGTACACAGAACTCCAACCATTTTAGTAGGAAAGAAAGTTAACTGCGCTTGCAAGATCATGTTGTGACTAGCTCTGCCAAACCCTAGGCTGCTGGCCAACTTCCAAATGCTCTGGCACCTTGGGTAGGGAGAAGTGATGGTGGTGTCACCTGGAAAGAGATGAGCATTAAACTGAAAATGCAAGAAAACCTTCAGTGTTTATGTAGCACCACAGCAAACAAGAACTTGCAATTGTCTTTCTACACGTACCTAGCTGTGTTTGCAGCCTATGTACCCAGAGATATTTTAAGGAAGCAACATGTGAACTGAGCTCCAGCTCTCTAAATGGCAAAGTAGGACTATCAGATTTTAGGTATTTGTATTTATGTTACATAAAATAATCAAAACATAGCATAACCTTAACAACTCTTGTTTTCTTTAAGGAAATTAGTTTTCTGCAACTATTTTCACTATAGCATACTGTGCTAACTAGGGCTTTGTTGTTGGTTTTTATATAATGCAGTAAATCAAGAGAGTTTGCAGTGTCACAAGCACTCTCCATTTAGATTTGCACAAGGACTGCAAGACAGATGCAGTGTAACATACTACTGCATCAATATCTTTTCTTACTCTGTAAGGCAATGGTAAGGATCAGGTGTGTAAGTGTGTGTGCTTGTCATTCATGTTTAGCTAAATAAACCCTGAGACACCTATAGGGCTACCACAGCAAAGCTAAACCTGGACTGTGTGGATAGGAACTGCAGATGCAGCTCTTGTGTTCATATCCAGGCTGAGACTCCAAAATTTCCACCACCTATTGCTACATACAAGTTCTAACTAGTCAGAAAGGGAAATTCTGACACAACCCTGGTAGGATGGTGCTCACCCAGAGGTATCACACCTTATACCCTGTGCTCACTTTTGTATTACTCAGAGCCCAAATGGTACTGTGGATAACTGTGTGCCTTCCCACTGAATAACTGGGAGGGGGGTGAATGCCATTAGGAAGGATTTGACCTCTTTCATCACAGTTTGGACCAATATGAATATTGTTCTGTTATCCAGCTCACTATCAAACAAAACACAGGAGGAGCAAAGCCTGGAAAAAGGTATTTTTCCTAAGTTTCAAATAAAAGGCTTCTGCAAGTATACCAGGGAGGGCATTTCATCACTTTGGAAAATACTGTTTGCCAAGTGTAACTGCAAGATTTAGAAATCAAAGCTATGGAAATTTAGAAACAAAACCAAACCACAGTACTCCATTAGCATCCAGATGCTCTGCAGGTATTGTGTGGTATTTCTCAGTGAGTCACTGATGTGTCTCTGGGGAGGAGCAGGGGCATGTGCACTCTTACATCTGGAGACCTGAAGTGCCAGGCTGCCTACTCAACTCATCCTCTCACATTCCACTCAGCTAGCACACACCCCAGACAACTTTTGTTTAAAGCAGCAGAGCCCTGCCTAAAAATCTGCCTTGTGCAAGAGCTGTTTTGATCAACTAGGTAATCCTTAATTCAAAGAAATGTACCTTTGACAGTTGTTATTCTTTTTTTTTTTTTAACTCGAAAGTTGACGTTTTAGCCAGAAAGGCATAACTAGCTTGAGTGGGACACTGCACTCTGATAAAATTTAACTCTGATAGCCAGAGGTTGATTTTGGCTCTGTCTGCTATGTGACTGCAACATTACAGCAAGCTTCTCTAAATATAAATCTCATATTTTAAGCTGTTTGCATTATAACTATACTAAGACTTGAAGGAGAGAGAGAAGAGACTAGTTCATAGAATTGTAGAAAGGAGAGAGTTGTAAGTCTTCAATTTTGCCCTGGCCAGCAGGTAGAGCTGACAATACCACTCAGGTTTTCTTCAGCTGTCAAGCATGAAAAAGCAGAAGTAGGAAGGAAATTAAATGATTATGTAAATTTGCTGATCATTACAGTTATTACAACTCTAATGTTTTTCTCCTCATTAGAAAAAACTGCACAACTCTCTTTACCAGTGATTGCCTTCAGGCAAACAGCTTTATTCCAGCCTAGCGACTGTTGACAAATCAGAACAGCAGCATCAACACCAAACTTAGGAGCTTTTAAGATAATGGTTGTACACATATATAAGCCACTTTACGTGAAGAAATAACTAAGCTTTGATCCTTAAAATACATTCTTTCACCTTAGGGTCTAGAATTAGTTTTCTGAGACAGACTTATGCGAGTGTCCAACTGACAACTTACACAAACCCTTCAGAAAAGCAGACTAATGCATGCACAAGAGGAATCACAACACTTGAAGTTGAGCCATCTACCACTAGCTGCATCTTAGGAGAAGGAAAAGACTATAGTTCTATAGCACAGGAGTGTAGTCTTCCATTGTATATCTTCCCGACAAAGCTCGTTCTTCTCCGCTACGACTTCAGGAATACATGGTGAGCTGCAGCCAGTCATCAATGGTCAGCTTGATCTGTCCACTTCCATCTCGGTCCAGGGACTTGAAGGCCCGGAACATGCTGTCCAGTCGTACCAAGCAGCTAATAAAGTTGTTGAAATCCATGTTCCCATGCTCGTCGGCGTATCTGCGCACAATGACCTGGCTGAGCTGCTCGTGCAGGTGGAACCCTGCAGCCTTCATGGCACTCGGCAGCTGAGCTCTCCCCACAGTGCCTGACTGAGCACTATCGTACTGCTTGTATACACACTGCCATTTCTTGATGTTGTTCCACAGATACTTAAACTCTTCAAAGCCCAGTTTGCCATTGGTATCGCAGTCCATGACAGCTACCATGCTACGGCACGTGTCTAAGCTGAAGCCCTCTGCCTTCAAGTCCTGATGTCTGGAAACGACTTTGTTCAGGATGTCCCTTAGCTCTGTGGCAGACACTTCCATATCATCTCCAGCCAGCTGGGCAAAAAGGCGACGAAATTGTCTGATCTCCTCACTCTCATAAGCTTCCACATTTGTAAAGTGATTGCGAGGAGGGGGAGGCGGCTCTGGATTATACTGAACTGCTGCTTCGCTTATGAGATTGACAAGACCTCCAACGAGTCCTCCAACATTCCCTCCATGTCCACCTCCTGTCAGGAGACCTCCCAGGCCACGTGCAAGGCTCCCTCCACGACTGCTGCTGCTACCTCCTCCACTCAGCAAAGCTTTAACGAGGAACATGGTGAAGATTTTTTGAAGGGAGTTACTCAGAGATCCAGTGCTCCTGTAGCTCTCTGAAGCTGTGCTGTGTCTGACCTGGGCGTGGGCAAAACACAGCTCATCTGCGTGCTGAGACTTCCCCAAGTCTGTGCATGTCTCTGGCTGCCAGTTAGCTTCTGTCAGGTGTTTCTGTCACGTGTTGGTACGCCTACATTGCTTCTTTTCTTCTTTGCATAGTTAGCTTTATGTGATTTGAGGAATCATTTGAGAGGAAAAAATGAGATTGGAAGCCACTGAGCAGAAGTCTCAAAACACCTGTGCTCATACCTGAAGCAATCTGAAAAGGTCCCTGCTACATGAGTGTGTCTGTTCCTCAGTTATGCTGATCTTAAAGCTGAATGCAGCCTTGCACTTGTCTGTTCATGCAATCCTTTATTCCTGCATGTTTTTAGCCAAGTAAGCATTACTTTGCTTATTCTAATCACTGATGCTGTTGTGCTAGATAAGGAAAGTGAAAGGAATTAAGTAAGCATTACTTTGCTAATTCTAATCACTGATGCTCCTGTGCTAGATAAGGAAAGTGAAAGGAATCTAGATTGCCCTTAATTATCCTGGTTGCCACACAACGTTTCTGATGTATGTACTCTGCTTCAGGTCTCAGACCACGTGTTCATAGGAGCCAGTGGTCCAAGATGGGGAAGCAAGATGAAGAAAGGCTGAGTACCTAGCTCTGCATGCAGCAATTCAGGAAATACATTTGACTTTTCCATATTTTAGAGCTTGTAAAAACTTTATCTGGAAAAATCCTGGAACAGTTTTAACTGGCGTACACAATGCAATGATCTCCATGGACAGGTGTACTGCTAAAGCTAACTTGATCAGGAAGAGTGATTGTAGAGTTGGGAGAGGTCCTAGGGTAAGAGAAAGCCTCCAGGTCACAAGCACTTGCAGGACAACATGCTGCTTGCACTGCAGCACGTGCTGGATGCCTAGAACTGGGTTGAATTCTATACTCTGCTCTAGTCACTCATGTTTCTGGTGTAGTCAGAGGGGCATCCATGAATTCTATACTCTGCTCTTGTCACTCGTGTTTCTGGTGTAGTCAGAGGGGCATCCACAGAGCAGTTTTTGTCATCCTCACAGAGAAGCAGAAAATGGGAGAGATTAGCACTGACTGTGGGGGAAAGCCTGAATAATCACATTAACATACAGCCCCTTTTATGGCTGGAGATAAGCAAGAGCAGTCCCTGTAAACTCTAACAGCATCCTCCACACACAGCAGGAGCACACACTCTAGTTAGCTTCAATCTGCCTTAAATTATCTAATTACAACTACATCAGTTAATTAAGCTGTCAGAGTGTACATAAGCTCAAAACCTGGGGTAGGCAAAAGGAAATATTCAGCCACTACCATCATGAAGATTATTGTCTCATATTGGTGCAGCAACTTGGTCCAAGAGTTGGCTGTTATCTCACGAGCTACAAACTCACCAATGTTTTTCCATGGAAACTTAAGAGTCACCAATCTTGCCTACAGGAACTGCTGACCAAGAAGCATTTACTAAACTGGACATAATGTACTAAATATCCTTTTGGGATGTGTTTTTCAACAACATATTGTCAACAAGTCAGTTAACCAACTACTCACCCTGTCAAAGAGTAGAAACAGCTCTTTGAGGACATCTGAAATAGGCAGCTTCAAGTACTCTGCAAACTCCTCAATTCCAATTCTTCCCCCTTTGGAAGCACTTGCAATAGCAGCAAAAGTATCCAACTGCTCTCTGACATGATTCCATTTTAGGCTATGAAAACATGAGGGAGAGGAGATATTTCTATACAGCAGTTCTTGGACAGATGGAATTTCAGTAGGAGTTACTGCAGTGCTCAAAGACAAAAACCAACCAACCAGAGCATGTGTGTACAGCATTTCTAATGCTGCACTTCTGACTGGATGTTTTATATTAAATCAGCAATTAAGGACTGCTCCCCCCTGGTTATTAAGATGAAAAGCAGGCAGTTCCATGCTTGGGTATGTCAGACTTCCACAGAGTAACCTTCCAAACCTAGAATAATGTGTCCAGTTACCAGGCTACTCTAGCAGAGAGCTTTTCATTACCATAAATTCCAGTGTAGCATTATTTTGCTCCATCAGGCTCTAGGGTATTCCTTAATAAAGGGAGCAGATTTCAGCTCTATTAGCTGACTTTCTACCCACACACTAGTATTGCTGCAGCCTCAGAAGTATCTGACCTCTGCAGAAATACACCACTGCCCCTCAGTAAGAGTAATGAGGTTGCCATGTAACTGTTCCAGACAGAGATACTTGATAAGAGTTACTATGTAGTTATGATGTGGTTGAGTCAATTCCACTGTATCTAGACAGAAAAGGTTGATACCAGTAGCAGAACATTCCTGCACAGTACAACTAAGAATGGTAAACTACTGGCTGAAGTTTCAGACTGGAAATAAGGCTTTTTACTTCCTGCACATGCTGCCTGTGCCTCTCCACTTAAAGCAATTAAAATTTGCACCACAATTACCATCAAGTGCTTAAAATAAGTACTGCTCTATCTTCCTCACCCTTTGGTGAGAAAAATCCATGAAAAATTAGAAAAATGCATTTTTCCTCTTGTAACACTGCCCACAAAAATTATTTGGGATTAATTCTTACTAGGATTTTCCTCATCTCTGATTTCCATACAGTTATGTAAGTTGTGTGCATAAACACAGTCTAATACACATGGCCAAGTCAGCTGTCAGATAATTTATCCTTTTTAAGATGTCCATCAACACCTGCAGCACTGCAGTAATTGTGCTACCAACAGCTAAACTTCCCTTACTTGAGTTTCTTGCTAATTTTGGTGAACTCCACCAGCCCAGCTTCCATGGGTAAAGTCAGCTGTC